TTTTTGGTGGGTTGAAAGAAAAGAAATGAAAACAAGTGTTTCTGTTAAGAAGGGAAATAAAACACGCGGAAGTTGTTTTGGCACTTGCAGAAGGCATGCACCTCTTCAAAAAAAAAAAAGAAGAAGAAAATCATCTAATCTTTCAGCAATGTGTGACAGTCTATAACCTGATGAGCAACCTTTAAGTTGTAACTGGAAGCTCTGAGGCTTTTATCAAAAGAAGGCATCGTTTCAAATGACACTTCCTTCTGTTTCAACAAGATACGGTTATGAAAACATCAATAATTGGAACAATTACCGATGACTCATTGGCACGACATTGTGAAATCTTTTCAGCCTCTATATATATATATGTTTGTGTGTGTGTGTCTGTGTGTGGAGGAGCTTCAATTAACACATTCCAGAGAACCAAGCTAACTAAACCTACCAACCCGGTCTGTCAYCACAGTGTTTGCTTAAGGGGGAATAAGATTAAAGCCACAAACTAAACCCTAAAGTATACGCACATCTTCTATGTCAGTCGTACTCCTATAATTTACCACGACTGTTTAGCTGTGCTGAAATAGCTAAAAGAACAATAAGAAACTCACCCTCGCTTGCATTTTTTGAAGATTCTCCCAATGGTGTCTTTTTGCAAACCATACTTTTGGGAAATCTGAGGAAAGAAAAGCACAAAGGATCACAGTCAGACTTCCTCCTCATGAAAGARGATACAGTTGTGGAAAGCACAGAAAATAGTCTTGATCTTAGACTTGAAATAATAATAATATTTTTGTCATCCTTTAAGACTTACAGCTTCTCGTAGACCTGAGAGTGTCGGCGAGCTGAGCATGAGAGCGTCGAACACCTGCTCTGTGTTTGTCCTCACGTAGAGCAGAACTACCGGAGAGCAAGAAGACATCATTTAGCACCAAAAGAAACCTCGACAGCTCATCAGCAGCAAGGCTTGTGTTCTATCTACCTCTTTGTGGGTCTTCTCTGCGGGTCTGTTTGTTGGGTGGAGAGTTGCTCCGGTCTCTGTCTGGATACAGCCTCTTCAGGCAACTCCTGTCAGCAAAACATCAAGGTTAGAGGGAAAGCAGCCACCACATGCTAATTCATGCCAATTGACAGGCAAATYCTGTTTTCAGTTTTGTTTATTTTTGTTTTTACCTGTCATTCTCATCCATAGAAGAGGCCTAAAGAGAAAAAGAAACATGACAGAGAGAGAGATCTGATTAGACACAGTTTCACTGATAAAGACATTTCTTCATGTCCTTCCACCCACCACTATTTGCGTGTGATGCCTTAAACAAGAAATCTGATTTCCCCTTTAGAGGTTTAGTTCCCATGACCACTGACGAAGCCTCGTAAATGTGGACTTGTGTCCTCATCTTTGCACCTCAGTCACTCAGTAGTGATGGTCTTTTTTTTTCAGACGCTCAAACACACGGCCCCCGAAAGCTCCGAGGTGTGGGAAAGCCGGCCTGTCTGAACAGCACCCTCGGCCCGGCTGTTGTTGCAGCCGTGTTGAGTGAAGGCCGCTGAGAGCATGAGGGCGACCGTGCCGAGCATCGAGCATGAGCTGCAGGGGCTTGAACTTGTGTCTGGTTTCGTCTCCAATTAGCTGATCTGATCTGAGGTCTGRGTTTAACCTCACTTTCGCTGGTGTTATTAAAACACCCCACCGCCCCTGGTTCCCAGGAAAAAACTTTTTTTTTTTWKCCCCAACTGCATACTTTCCCACAGTTGAGTTTTTTTTTTATTCCCCTGCCACGCTCGTGCCTGTCTCATCACCTGCAGGTGGGTGGGGAGATGGGGAGTGTGAGGGACCTACCATGCGCTGTAAGGTGGAAAGGTGGGCCTCTGGGATGAAGAGAACAGGCTGAGTCATGTGGTCATCCAGGGTTTTGAAGTAGGTGTACTCAATGCTAGCGGAGCCGCACATTAACGATTTGTTAGCTGGAAAAATGAACACCATATTAGTTTACATTTCTGATAATGAAACTGCTTTTTGGGAAAAAAAACTTTGTTACTTACAGTTTACATCATTACAGCTCTTTCCCCTCCTCTTGGATCTCTTCCTCTCCTCATCTCTCATCTTCCTCTCTGCACCCTGAAGACACACAAAAAAGGAACGCGATTACAAAAAAAAAAAAAAAGGGCACTGGTCCATTGATACTGGTTTTTTGCTGCTTGCACAAGAGTCTCTGTGTGACTTAAAAAGRGAGGTACCTTATCGCAGAAAATCTTGACCTGCAGGGCAGCTCTGTGCAGCAGCTGGTTGTTCCCCGAGCTGAGGTCGTAGGTGTCGATCTGCAGGTTCAGGGGTAGACCTTTCACTCCTTTCTGAGAGGAGAAGTCTGTGCTCAGGGAGTTTATGCCGATGTAAATCTAAAGGGAGAAGAAATCAAGAAATTTAGCYTCTTTCTTTTATTTGTCTGCATTAAGAAACAGGAATAGAAAACAAATGATCTGAGACGGCTATAAAATAATAATAATAATAATAATTTAAAAAAAACAGGAACACCTGCTGCTTTTCCTGCCAACAATTTTCCATCTGGCCCTATTTGCAGCAGGCTTGGTGGCCCTGCCTGAGCACCTTTGGGCCACAGAGAAGCACGCATACGTGACTCTTGTCTAGTGACAAGAGCCTCAGGGGAAAACACATTTCATGCATTCTTCCCCCTCCCTTCCTCAGCCACTCCTTGTCTCCTTCCCTCATCTCCCTCATTAAAAAAACAAATAAAAAATCACCAGTTTTGTTTTTTTATTTTTTTATTTCTGCTAAATCACCTCATGAATCAGCGCTAATGATCTGGGAGCTCATGRGTGGCGTGGATGTGTTTACCTTGGCCTCCTCGTTGGGGTTCCACACGAACGAGAGCGCGTTGAAGGCCACCTCCTCCACGTTGCTGATGCCACAGAACACTTCTTTGTAGTCGGCTGTTTAAAAGAGAAAAGCAATGGGATTCTCGGCACGTTTTTCCTAATAAGACCGTGAAAGCTCGTCGAGCGCTTCACTGTTATTACGTGACAGTTGTGTGTATTTTGGATCATCAGGAACGTACCGATGTCGATGACCCTCTGTTTGACGGTTGGTTGGCGTGCGTGCCAGTGATTCCAGAAGCGGAGCTGCATTTCGGGGCTCTTGTCATTCTCAAAAACAGCCATCACCACTGTCTGAGGTGGAGGAGAAAAAAAAAAAGAAACAGTAAGCATAAGGTTCACCTGTGTGCTTTTGTGTTATTTTTGACACCTGCTGAAATTTTCCAACTGATCATCTCTCTCTTAAACACAGATATGTTTCATTCACTCATGCAAATCCTCCCTTTCTCCTTCGATTCGACTGACAAAGAGCTTTATAAAGCGCACCGCACCTTCTCCTCTCCCCTTTTCTTAAATCTAACACTTAGACAAACACGACTAAGCCGGGCTGTTCTGCACTCGGGCCTTGTTTCCCCAGCGTTATGAAGAAATCGCACAAGGAAACARGCTGTCGCTTTCACAGTCAGCGGGGGAATTAGTCACCGAAATGGTGCTGGCTTTACAAGGGAGGGACACACGTTTGGGAAGGGTTGGCTTGGTGACACACACACACAAAACTTTATTTGCTCCAAGAAAAAAACAACAAAACAAAGCCTTCAGGGTAAAAATGCAACAATAGCCACTAAATTCTGTAAGTCACGCAAATAACACAAAACAAAACTTTTTTTTTTTTTGGAGATGACTCTGATTCCATGACTCACCTTGACCTTGGTGGCAGTGAGGCAGGCGCTGCTGTCCACTCCCTGCAGAGTGATGGGATAGAACTGGCCTTTGTTCAGGTACACCATGGGTAACTCGTGGGACTTGTGAGAGGAGGCTGCAGGAGAGCCGAGGCTGAAGTGAAACTCGCTCCTGGACCTCTCCGGCGGGGAGCTGGCGTAGGAGTCCGAGTAAACCGGACTGGAGGTGTTTTCAGGGAACTGCTCGTTGTAGGAAAGCGACTAAAAAAATCCACACAGAGCGTACTGATTGGTAAAAGACGACAGAAAAAGAGTGTTTTTCCTGGAGCGATTGGTTCAAACATACCTCGGCAGTGGTGTCGGCGAAGGCGTTCCCCTGCATCAGGGACTCAAAGATGTTGTTGAGCTCCTGCTTGTCGTACGTGTCGGCCACGACGCTGGTCAGGGTGGCGTACGTGTCCGGGTTGGCGGGAGCGGAAATGGGAACGGAGGCGATCTGCTTGGGCGCCACAACTTCCTGGGGATGGGAGACGGGAACGCTCTCAGAGAGGATCTTCATGACGTTGGTGGTGGTCTCAAGTGAAATGAGGTCGCTGGTGTTGCTCAGGCTTCTGCGAATGTGAAAAGAAGGAAACAGTTCAAACCTAACCTAAGTTTTTTTTTCCACTTTCACAGAAAGTGCAGTCAGTTAACGCTCTAATTGTGTCAGCGCAACACAGCAACTTGAAGAAAGCCTGGGTGGGAACTATTTGTTTCTTAATCCAGCCCCCCCCCCCCCCCCCCCATTCTCTCTTCTGTGTTTGAGTTTCTCTACTGAATATGTTTAAGGGGACAACACTGAGCCCCAACAATGACCTGTCCCCACCCACCCAACAACAGGAAACAAACAAGAGAAGAGAAAACATCAGATTTGAATCTCCATCAGAGAGGAAGATGACGCTTAAATGAATAGACATTAATCCAGCTGACAGATTGACACAAACACCACCRGTTTCTTTGGAACTTATCCTCATCATAAATGTCATTGAGTGAGAAGAGTAATTAACTAATGGGGTGCAATTTTTAGAACACGTTTGTGTCTGTTTGTAGACTCACCTCTCGACTGGTTTGCAGATATTGTTGGCGCGACTGAAGGCGGCAACTTTCTGCTCTTTCTGGTTCTGAAAAAGTAGCAAAAGCACACATCAGCACGAGAAATTAGGCTTGGGGCTGAAGTTGAAAGCATGTGGTTTACGGGACGACCCTGTTTACCTTGCAGTGTTCATGGAGCATGGTTAAAGCTGTAAAGTTGTCCTCAGGATTGAGTCTGGGTTTGGAGTGGTTCGGCTCAGGAACAGGGGTGTTCAGGTAGGACCAGGAGTCCATTATGTAGTTGTTATAGTTGTTGTAGTTGAAGTTCTCACTCTGAAAGACCAGTCCCAGAGTCCTGCAGGAGATACGGAGGAGAGTGGAGGGATTTATCAGACAAAACTGCAAAAACAAAAAGGTTTTATTTCATCAACTGCGTGTGACAGAAATGTTTTGCCTGTAGGTGAAACATGGTTTGGCTGAGCGGAGGAAGCTGCAGCTGATTCCTGAGCCTCAGAGAACTGTGCATACTTGCCCCCTAGCATGGAGGGTTTCGATTGCAAAACCACAGAACTGAGTAAGCTCTCTCAGGAGCTGAGGTGTAAAAAAAAAAAGAAAGAAAGAAAYAAAAAAGACATGTCTGTGCTTTAACACGCAGACAGTGTTTTGTGGTTTCAAGCGTGGAAGGAGAAAAACAACAAATCCTTGAATCCTGGATAAACTTTCATATTTGCGCAGCTCTCATGAGCGCTGACTGGATTTTCTGAAAAAGCCGCAACTGTCACTTGGAGGTGGGCTCTGCTTTTCCATTTCGGCTGCAAAAATATTTACAAGGCTGGGATTCTAAGGATACAGTTTGTTTGGAGAGACTCTCAGTGACATTGGGCCGTAAACATACAGACTGCCAGGTTAAGCCCCCCCACCTTCTAGTCTGAAGCAGCTAATGAACAAACAGCTGCAGTTTCACCTGAACAAACACTTAATTGAATGTGCTGACAGGTAAGAAAGACCTCCGCTATTCACGACCACAGCACAGGGAGACAGTTCCATTATTTCTCACATGCAGAATGGTGGGACTCTAAACAAGAAACTGCATATTTACTTGTTTTGATGCCAAAATACCTTCTTAAATTCCTGCTGTATTTAAGTAAAAAAAACTTGCCCTACACCTGCTCAGAGATGCACCTGCCTCTCACACAGTGAAGCTTAAAAAAACTGTTTCAACTCAACGCAACCCTCGGGATTTTTCWACATTTTATCTTGAAACCAGGATCTGATTCTCCACAAAGATAAGGTGGGCTTTTTTTTTTCTCCCCTAAAGTTTCGCCATCATGTAATTCAATGCACTGCATGCTGTCACTGCCCTCTGTCTCCAACAGCTCCAGAGGAGATTCTRATTTCCCAGGATCCTTTTGTGCTCCGTGGCCTCTAGGTTAGTGAAGCCGTAACAGACCCACCATAAGCACAGATCTAAA